TCAAATGTTGACTTTATTTTAAATAAACACACATACATTCCAGTGGATGGGGGCCTGGAAGCTATCAGCTTAGATTTTTGGCACAACATCCAATCAGTTTTGCTTCATTTTTTTTTTTTTTACATTTGTAATTTAAAAACATTGGATATTTAGAAATCATGTTTATAACAAAAATATTTTTCCTGTATTTTTAAAAATGATGGCGTTAGATTTCCTATTTGAACATGTGAAGAAGCTTTCAGCCAATCACATCAGTGTGGATTGATGTTGGCTTCATTTATTGTTCGGTCTCTCCCAGCGCGAGCGGTGTGTTGTTTTTTCGTTTTGTTCTTTTTAACATCTGGAAACGTTCCACGACGTGTAGGAAATCAAACAACCCCTTTGATTAGCAACCTGTGTTTTGGTAAAAAAAAATCACGCATGCGCATATTCTGTTGTACAACTCTCCGATCGTCACCTGGTTCGTTTCCGAGCTGTTTTTGTGCCGTTAAATGTAAACAGACTGGAATGAAAGCCATCTACCAACACTCCTTTATATTTCTGATGGACATGAGGACATTTTCTAGCGAGAGGAGAAGCAGGAACCGCAGAGGTCAATGTTTTGAAGGATGGCCGCTGCAGAGAGCTCCAGGCTCCGAGGAGAAGAGAGAGAAACTGGGGGAGAAGATCCAGAAGCCAGCATGGATGGATGAGGAACACCAGAGAGGCTCTAAGGAGCAGCTTAGAGCACTTTGAATCCTGCTGCTAAGGCAGCTACAGTTGCTAAACCTGTTAGGCTGGTTGCCAGGCAACAGAAGCTCCGCCCAGCTTTCAACCTTTATAAGTAGTGACAGGATAAACAGAAACAGTTGACGCAGAGCAGAAGGAGCAGAACATGTTGGGACTTATTGTGGATCTGATGGAGTCTCTGCTCAGGTTTCCCTTCTGGACCTCCACCTTCTGCCTCTACCTGTCCTGGACTCAGGTTCAAGGTAAACCTCTGCTTCACTTCCCTCTGCTGCTTAGCAAAAAGTACTTTATTCCAGTATACTAATAGTGCACTAATATCATACTTAAAATCAGGCAGTGCACTTAGAGTTGACTTATTCTAAACTATATTTCATATACTTAACAATTGTCCCAATTTAGTTCGAAGAAGTATTACTTTAGTAATACTTCAAGAACACTAAAAGTACATTGTTTGGTATACTTTCTAAACTTATACTTAAGTATTCTTTATAGAATTTACTTCAAGTATACTACTTTTTGCTGCTTCATCTCACCTCCCGTTGCTCACATTAAACATGGAGAGAAACTAACTCTGAGCAGTAATTACTAGTTAAAACCTGGAAGTTTAGACCGTTAACAGAGGTGTGAAAGACTGTATTACATATGGTAATAGTACATATTACATATAATACATACTGTATTATATATATATATATATATATATATATAATTGCAAATAAAGTCAGGCAGTAAGGGGATAACAATTTAGACAAAAAAGGATTTATTTCTCAACAGTTTTGCTTCTTAACACAACATTAGTAAGTGTAGGGGGGTGCTAATCCAGCAATCTGATTCCTGTAAATAAAACCAAGGGACATAGCAGACGGGTCAGATTGGAAATTGGAATTGGAATATTTAATTGTTATTAATGAATATTATCATAATTTAATTTCCATTTTGGATTCATAAAATATTATTGAATTTAATTAGTGAGTCATCTCTGTGATCTGCTCTAAAATGATCTTATTACATCACGGCAGGTAATGAAGGTTCTGAAACAGTTCAGATCTTTNATTAGATTAGATTACATTACATTACATTACATTAGATGAGCTTTATTGATCTCACAGCGGAGAAATTCACTCGTCACATATTGGCATAGAAGTTAAAGAAGGTGCAAACAAGGAGGAAAAAGGTGCATTAAGAATAAGCATTATATATACAGTATATCCAGGTATATACAGTATATCAAGATAAATAGGGTTAAGGTGCAAATGTACATGTATTGCACTAAATGAAAAACAAAATAAAAATAAGAAATAAAAAAATAAGAAATAAAAATATGTACAATCTGGATGGCTTATATACAGGGGGAGGAATATTGCACATTCAGCATATTGCACAGGATATTGCACAGTCAATAAATAAAAAACTATAATGTAGCTGCACAGTGGTTTTTACAGGAGTTATTGTGGTTGTAGTGCATTATTATAGAGTCTGGTGGCAGCAGGGATGAATGACCTGCGGTAGCGCTCCTTCTTACAGACAGGGTGTCTAAGTTTCTGACTAAAGGAGCTGCTCTGGTCCTCTACAGAATGGTGCAGGGGGTGAGAGGTGTGATGTCCATGATGGATGTGAGTTTGGACAGCATCCTCCTCTCAGCCACTTCCTCCACCGAGTCCAGAGGGCAGCCCAGGACAGAAGTGGCCTTCCTCACCAGCTTATTCAGTCTCTTTCTGTCCCGCTCTGAGCTGCCAGGGACCCAGCAGACGACAGGGTAGAGGAGGGCTGAGGCCACCACAGAGTCTTAGTAGTAATAATTGTAGTGATGAAGGGTATTCATAAAGGGCATCGACCTCTCTCACTGTATAGAATGTGATGCAAAAACACTTTGATTACATCAGAAACTAATGTGGTGTGAAGAATTACATTAAAGCAAAAGGGTTTTGTCAGAGAGCTCATTTACAATAAAATCATTTTTATTTTTGTGCAAATTTTAATTATCAGAGTTATTGAGAAGTTCATTTATATCAGCAAATCAAGTTACTAATAAGGATTAAAGTCTTAAAGTTTTGTTAACACAGAAATACAAATCTCCATGGCAACCTGTGTGTCACTGCTTGTGTGAAACAGGGTCAACATAGTTGAACCAGAAGAGCTGGGAACCAATGGGCTGGGTCATGGTGTTTTGCTGCCCTCTACTGGATGCTGGTTTTAACTGCACTTACTATATAAAGTGAAACATCTTACTGATATCATTTCCATAACTGTGTTTTTCCATTCGGGTAAACATTTTTGAATCACTTAGGATTTTTGTTT